AGAGTCCAGAATTAAGGTTGCATAGTGGAATGTACTTGGGGTGGTGGGACGGGTGCGGGGGGGATTGTGTACGAGGGAGGGAGTGTTTCTTTTACTTTTGAAAGAGAGGAGAGAACTGGGGGGAGGGATGGGCGGGGAGAGAAGTGCAGCAATGAATGAATGGAAATCCAAAATATCTGTAAATGCTCATTAAAATTATTTAAATTTTTTTTAAAAAAAAGGTCTTTCTTCGGCTGAATGGCTTTATGGATTTAAAATGGATTTAACTTGCCAATCTTATTCCACCAGGGGGAGCGCTGATGGCGTAATGAGTAGTTAGGTTGTGCTGTTAACCCACAGACCATGGCAATTTACCGTTCTTTAAAACGCACTGGAGAGTCAGCTAACCTCTCTGACTCCAAAAAAATTAGTATGTGTAAGTACTCTACCAGGGCTTCTTTGAGAATGTATTATCGTTGCTGTTATGTGCTGTTGAGTCAGAAAAAACTCATACCTGACCCTCCAGCGAATTTTTAGAGGCTGTAAATTGCGTGGGAGAATATTAGAGCAGCTGGTAAAATAAAACCACCTGCTATTGGGTTGTCAGCACAACTCCCTTTCACTAAGCTCTTTGAGAGTATAATGGATCACAGATTATTTGAAAATTGTAACGTTCTATTGAAAAAATACTTCATATGCCAAATTCTAATCATTACTGATCTCAACAAAGCTTTAAAAAAGAATCACCTTGGATACTTTTTTAATTAATAGTGAGGCAGTATTATTAAATGGACTCTGATATAATAAAAGGGAGCCTTCCGGATTCTAACTAAATACTGAAAAATCTGGCTACTGGGATGGTTCAGACACTATATGATGAGAAGGGCTACCCTTCAGCTTTATAAGTGAAGAAATATACTCTACCTTTTTCGGGATAACTGTTGTTGTCAAGTGGATGTGAAAGAGTTGTTGGAATCAACGGAGAAGGCAATGGAATCATGCCTGTTCCTTCCACAATGTATACTAATTCTCCAATCTAAATCAGAAACCCACAAGAATATTACACTTTTAAAGTAGAGGGGAAAAAATCATGAAATTTATGAAAAACTCAAAATGAGCAGCAGAACTACACAGTTTCCAAGAATGACACAGTGTACTACGAGGGCATTTTTACAGTTCTAAGTAGCCTAGTGGTAAGAATCTGTGCTGCCAGACAAAAGACACACAGTTTAAATCCACCAGTTACTCGGTGGGAGAAAAATGGGCAATCTCCTCTCATGTGATTTATTGGCTCTTTAATCATGCTGGAAGGTCAGCTAAGGTCCATTCCAATTGATGGTACAAGTCAACAACAACAACAAATAACGTAGAGGAATTTTCTGCCAACCCAAAGGCAAAGGATATGAATCCACCAGCTGCTCTGTAAAAGATAGATGGAAAATCTCCTTTCCTATGATTTTACAGCCTCTGAAAGCCCACTGAAGGGTCAACTATGAGTTGGTTCTGACTCTATGGCATGTAACAACAACAATTTTAAATCAATATTAATTGTGTCCTAGAGAAGACTATTTTACAGATATCTTCTAATAGACAATATGTATTAAAATTATATAAATTGATCATATAATAAAAACAGTATATATTTTAGATAAGCATTGAAATGGCAGGAATTGAAAATTAAGAATGAATAATTTCCAACTGTGAGATCAAATTATTTATAGCTTTATTATAACCATCTCCTAATTGTGATTTGTTTAGAATGTATTTGGTGGACTTCTTTCATATAGGAGTGTTCCCTACATTTTTATAAATTAAAAGGCCTAGTTATCTTTTGTTAGTATTAGAAAAAGAAAATTAATATCATTTTTTTCTAAATTGTTTAATATTGATATCCATTCACTCCTGATAATAATATACAATATCTTAAAGTAACTGTCTATGTAGTACTTTTTCCTAAGCAGTCATATAATTAGCAAACAAAAATTCAATCTATCAGTCCCAAATGTTTTTTCCTCCCTGTGTGCCTGTGTGTGTTCTATTACAAATACAACTGAATACTCAATACTAACAACAGAGCTCTGATGACCTAGTGGTAAGGACATGAACTGCCAACTCAAAAGCACATAGTTCAAATTCACCAGTTGCTCTGTTCTGAGGAGATGATCAGTTTCCTGCTAGATGATTTATAGCCTCAGAAAACTTACTGCAGGGTCAGCTAAGAGTCCATGCAAGAACATTATTCAGTGCTAATTTGAATAGAAGGCAAATGTATCAGTTCAATAAAGCTCTTTTTTGGTTTATCACTTTTGCCATCCTTGTCATTTATAAATCAATTGTTTTCTCCAAGATAGAAGATTCATAAGCAATTAAAGTAAGTAAGCACAGAGCTATCATAATTTACCATCTCTTTTAAAACTGCATACCTGAATTGATCCTGAACTATAGATTGTCTTTTGTTATTGCTACGGACTGTGAGTCAGAACTGACACATAGTTGACCCTCCAGCGGGTTCTCGGATGCAGTAAATCACATTGTAGGACACTATCCATCTTCCGCAGAGCAGCTGGCACATTTGAACCATATGCCTTCACGTTGGCAATGCAACTCCTTACCAATAGGTCACCAGAGTTCTGTGTAGAACAAATGAATTCCAAGCCATGGAAGTTGATTTAAAAGGAGGTAACTGCTAATTAGGAGTTCTGCTGGCACTGTGGTTAAAGTATCTGGCTACTAATCAATAGGTGGTTTGAACTCATCAGCCACTCTGTGGGAGAAAGATGAGGCAGGCTCCTTTCACCAAGATCTACAGTCTTAGAAACCTTATGGCTTACTTCTACTCTACAGGAGGTAAGAGTCAAAACTGGTTAAATTCTCCACTTCATTCTACATTTTGCATAGACAATAGATGATCATTGCCCCAAAAATGTATTTATTCTAAGAAATTCACTTTCAAAACGATCTTTTTGTTTTAAAATAAACAAAACTATATAAAAGAAAATTATGCCTGTTTTATTTGTGTTAGAAAAAATATTATGGAAAGTGGTAATTACATCTATTGACTCCCTTAGAAGAGAAGCATACCACGTAAGGACTACAAAAGCAATTAAAACTGTTTTAGGAAAGCCTCTAACAATCTAAGTCTAGTAGTTGTGAGGTGGGGAAGTTAACTTCTCTGACCCGTGGTAACATTTGTCATTATGATACCTTCTACCACTCGACTGCACAAGTTCTTTTCTGATTTTAGGTTCACATTTTCCAGAGGGCATGATGGGCATGTTCAATTGGAATTGTATTTTCCAAAGGACATACTAGTACTGTTGCAACTCTAAGGAACTCTCATAAAAGCTGTTTTGTTCCTTTTGTATGTCTAATTTGCAATCTCCAAGCAATATTGTTGCATGTAACTTTGCAAGAAGGCCTGCTATTAATGACCCAGAAAGAGAGACACAGACACCAAATTGGGAGGAAAATCTGACCCTAATTAGCTGAATAACCTTGGACAAATCATGGATGCTTTTCAGAGACAAATTTCAATCTTGAAAAAAGGCATTGATCTCTACAGTTAATCCTCACATTGCTCCACAGATTTTAAATTTATTGATTCCTTTATCTTGGGCCTGGTTATTGCCAGCCAAAGACCAAAATAGCTGCCTTCAATTTTATTCTGGCTGCTTATGATCATATGTGTACTAAGTAGCAACTGCACTCCCAAGAGTTTTCAAGGTGTGACTATTCTGGAAGCGGATCACCAGACCTTTTATCCTAAGGCGCCATTGGATGGATTCAAACAACCAACCTTTTGATTAGTAGTCAGATTTCATAATATAGTTGTTTTAATTAACGGTGCAGAAGTACATGAATGACGTGGTTATATAAGGCAATTGCAGCTTAACTGAAATTCTAAAATATTAAATTACATACCCTGAGGAGGAAAAAAGACAAATCACTCTAGGTGATTATTTAAGTTTTCCAAAATTATAAAATGAACTTAACCAGAATAGAACAGCGCTTTGCTTTGCAGAGAATATTTTTCATTTCATTGTTGTGTGCTGCCAAGTGAATTCAAACTCACAAAAATCTCATATATAAGGATAGAGTAGAACTGCCTCATAAGGTTTCCTAGGAGTTCTGTTGGCATAGCCCACAAATGGAAAGATGGCACAAATCCAAAGATGGAACCTCTCTAGAGGTTCAAATCTATCAGCATCTCTAAGGGACAAAGATGGGAATTCTTCTTCCATCAAGATTTACAACCTCTGAAAACCCACTGAAGGGCCAGCTATAAGTCAGTTCCGATTTGACAACAGTGGGTTTTTGAGAGGGAGAGCAAATTGTCAGATCTCCTCTAAGGGGTTCAAATAGCTGACTTTTGGTTATCAATTAAACACTGAGCCACCAAGGCTCATTTGTCATCTAATAAATAATATTAAGTAAGAAAAGATGTGCTGAGAGACTTCAGTATGAAAGACTCACAAAAAGATATGAAGATATGAATGTCTTTGCTGAAAAGTTCAACCATTTAAACACAAACTATTCCTGAAAGCTTAGTCTACAGAGAATTCTATATTTCTATCTAGAAAGTATAATATGTGTAATGTGGACTAGGAAGCAGGATATGCCATCTCCTTCCTAAATAACAGGCCTTTGAAAACCCTATGAACACTAAGGAAAGAGAATAGTAATAGCACTGTAGTGGTAGAGCCCAAATTGGAAGTTAGTGGAAATGAGGAAAAGAAAACAGTAACAAACATCATTTAATAATTGGGATATGGAATGTATATAGCTTGCATGTTGGAAAACTGGAAATGGTTTAAAATTAAACGGAGCACATGAATATAAATATACTAGACATTAGTGAGATAAGATGGACCAACTTTGACCACTTTGAATCACTATGCAGGAATGACAAACAGAAGAATGATGTTGCATTCATAGTCAAAAAGTCAATTTCAAGTTCTGTCCTGAAATACAATGTTATGAGTGATAGGATAATACCTACAGGCATACAAGGAAAACTGGTTAACATGATTATTATTCAAATAATTTACATCTTTGAGTTGAGGTTTTGGAAAAGAGCACTGAACATCTTATAGACTGCCAAAAGAACATATATGTCTTGGAGAGGGTGCAGAGTGCTCTCTGGAGGCAAGATGAGGCTTCGGCTCAAATACTTTGGGCATGTTACTAACAGGGGCTATTTCTTGGAGAAAAACATGATGCTGAGAAGGGTGGAGAGTGAGCAAAGGAGAGGAAGACACTCAACGAGGTGGACTGATACAGTGACTGCTGCAATGGGCTGTTGTGTATCAGGAAATGTGAAGATGGTGCAGGATAGAAAAGGGCTCAGATCTTTTGCTCATAGGGTCGCTATGAGTCATCACCAAAATTGGAAGGGTGTACACCAGGGATATGTCCTATCTCCATATCTTTTCCATCTATACGTGGAACAGATTATCTGCGAGCCTGGACTCAATAAGAAGAAATGTGGCATCAGGACTGGAGGTAGACTCATCAACAATCTACGTTATGCAGATGACACAACCCTGCTTGCTGAAACTGAGAAGGACCTGAAGCGCTTACTGGAGAAGGTCGAGGACTGCAGCCTTCAATATGGATTGAAGCTCAACATCAAGAAAACAAAGATTCTCACCATTGGGCAAATTTATAGCACCATGAAGAGATTGAGATTCTTAGTAAGTTTAGTTTGCTTGGCTCTACAAGCAACACTCTTGGTACCAGCAGCCAGGAAATAAAAAGACAAATTGCATTGGGAAAGTCTGCTGTCAAAGATCTCTCCAAAGTACCGAATAGCAACAATTTCAGTCTGGAGACTAAGGTGTGCCTCATACAGGCCATGGTTTTTGCAATTACTTATTATGCATCAAAAAGCTAGACAATAAGTAGGGATGATAGAAACATAATTGATGGCATTAAACTGTGGTGCTGGAGAAGAGTAACACAATAGACTACTAGAAGAACAAACATATTTGTCCTGGAGAGGGTGATACCAGGCTGCTCTGGACATATTGCAAGATG